TTAGAGCTTTGTTGGCCACAAGATGATATTTCTATTATTCATTCAATAAAATAATACTAATTTAAATTGAAACTTACCACAAGGAATCCATTTCTTATGTACATTTCATATCTGCAAGCATTTTGGTGATTGCTTCACAATTCAAAGCATCAAATAAAAAAGAGGATCGGGCATCCATCATGAAAAAAATGAAAAAATTCTTTACGAATCATCAGGTTATATGTATTATAATGAATTTAAGCAGAGCTTTTATAATTATCCGTTACTACAAAAGCATTTTGAGCTTTTGTGGAACCATCGTCGATTTTGGCTTTATCTTTCCGAGTAGGATTATCTATGTGTGGAAACAATACAAATAATTACGTTGAATGAAGTTTCGGTATATTAAAAGATATTATTTTCGCGAGAACATAAGCATATAATTCCGTCCAAGTGTTTCAGTTTGTAATTGGAAGCATGGAAAGGTTCTACGAGCGATGATTACTTGGAGTTGCATATAAGCATCCCGGACATTTACAAATTGCAAAAAGCTTTTTGTGTCCTGGTTGGAAAACAGTGAATGCAAATTTTATTCGAAAAACGAGTATAAAAAATGAATTTTTAGTGCCAAGTACCCAGAATTTTGATCTTTTCTACACCGTAAATAGTGAAATCGGAACTTGCACTTGTCCTGTTGGTATATCTGGTGCACCTTGTAAACATCAGGGATGAAATTTTATATCTCAATCAGATGATCTATACTTATATTGCACTTGATAAGTGGAATGGTTATTATATTTTTAACTCACTATTTTTACTTGTTTAGGCTGTATTTCTGAAGATAATTCCTTTTATGCATCATTGCGAGCAGAACACATTTCACCAAGTCAAGAACTCATATTATTAAGTATCTTTTATGATAGAGGCTTCAGTGAAATCACTGAACAGAGGTTTGTATTCTCTTTGATTTGCAAATTTGACTTAGATAACTGTATAACTTTTTGTATGGAGCTGAACCAAGAGAACGAAGAAATCAGCATTAATGCATTCAATACGTTTTTAGAGGAAGTTAAAACAGACTATCAGAATGCTGATCAAAAGTTACATACTGCAGTCGACAAGCTTATGAAACGTTATAACACAGCAAAATCGAAATTCATCCCTCGATTATCTTTCTTTCTTTACGATCTTAATCGCAATTTAGATCCAATGATTCATGTTAAAAGTGGTGCACACATACGGGTTCAGGTTGAATCCATTAAAAGATGTAAAATGGAAGGGTCTGGTAGTGCCAAGCGAAAATTACCTGTTTTTGCAAGTAAGGGAAAGGAAAATTTGAATTCTCCTTGCTGAAAAAAGAAGAAAATGGGGCAACGAGATTATAATTTAAACAAAAATATATTGGAAATCAACTGAATTATTTATTTTTTCTATTGCGATATTAAATGGTTATACTGAAAGTTTTAATTCAAATTTTTAGGGTATTTTGGATCATTTAAAAAATGATCATTTTATAGTTCACTTTTTATTACAATATTATTTTTTGGATCGATATAGTTGTTTGAGAATTCAAGACAAACATAATTAAACATTATAAATTGTTTGCGTTTTCTTTAGATATTTTTTCGCGTTTTCTTTAAATATTGTTAAACGTTATTGAACATTGAATAATTATAATTATAATTATAATTAATTAAACTGTACAGTTAAACATCGTTAAACATTTAATAATTATAATTAGCTGAACTGCATCTAATAACTCGTCTTGTTATAACAAGAAACAAGAATTGCGGAAACTCGCAAGAGAACTTGAAAGAATGAACGTGAAACAAAATTGATTGATTGGTTTAATTGTTAATATTAAAGCTGAGGATAAACGTGTCCAACTCGAAATTCAGAACCTCAAAATTCTCCTGTATTTGGTATGGTGATAGCTCATTAAAATATTTGATTAAATATGTATAATGCTGAGGAAGAACCAGTTTCAATAGTTCGGGTAAGGAATTCCAAGCGAAGACCTAAAACTTAATGTTATATTAATTTTATTATCGTTATGAAATGAAACAGAATTTATATAAAAAGTTGGTTTAGCAAACCTGTGGGATAACAATATGCATTGTTACCTTCCATACGTAAAGGCAAAGAAAATAAAATCCAACTAACTAAGAACCTAAAAAAAAGCAGTAGTATTATTTATGTATATATATACAATCAGTGACAAAAAAACTTAATCTAGAATGTCCTATTACAATTTTACGCAGATCGCATTAAACACATGATCAAGATATTGTTTGAAAGCTCGAAAGCAGTAGATTTTATTATTACAAATTTAATTCGCCTTTATTTTCAATAATTAATTGACAACGGCGTGGTATTGAATTTATTAATTTTTTTAATGCATCATTTGGCAATGAATTTCATTCCTCCATTATAAATTGTTCCAATTCGTTTAAATTTTGCAGCATTCGTTTTTCTACTTCACGTTTAACAATTATCCATAGGTTTTCGATAGGATTTAGGTCCGGACTCGATCACGGCCAATCGATAACTTCAGGTACATTTTCCACAAGAAACTTCTTAGCTTTACTGCTTGTATGCTTATGATCATTATCTTGCTGAAACTGTCACTTTCTCCCAAGTATCTTTTTAATTTCCCCAACATGTTGCTGCAAAATTTCGATGTAAAAATCAACATTCATAATACATTGAAAGCAGAATAAACGAGTTTTTCCCTTCACGCAGAAGTCACCCCACGTGAAAATTTTGAATAGTTTTTTGGTATTGAACGGACCAGCTATTTACTCTTACACCAATGATTAATTGTATTTGGAAATAGTTGGAATGCCGATTCATCGGAAAATAAGATTTTTTTCTAGTCATCGTTAAGTTTTTTTGTCACTGACTCTATATATATCAATATATATATACAATGCCACTGAGAGTACAGTCAGTCAGATAGTTGACAGCTGTGGCACCAATCTGGCACACATTCCAAATGTGCTATGCTTTTATGTGTTGAAGTTTTGAATTGTCATTTTTTAACATTTCAGGATTTTGAACCATCGAGATGTTAGTGTTCGGGATGTTGAGCATTTGAAATAGTAGCTTTTCGGGATGTTGGATTTTCAGGATTTCGTTTGTCAGGCATATGAGATATTGAAATTGTGATTCTCAGGATGTTAGACGGCACCAGAAGTTGACCACTAGGTCAGCTTTATTAATACAGAAAAATTAGAGGAGAATTTTGTCTCTAATATCATAGAAATTACTGGAGGCATCTCGTAATCTGGCACTCATCCGGACATTTTTAATTTTTTGTCAGAAATTAAGCCCTCTTCCCTGTAGTTGTTTACAGGGCCAATAGGGATTTCAATGATACAATCATTATGAGAAAAATATACAACCCAATTTCTAAAGGATTTAGTTGTTGGGCATATTTAAATATTTGTTCGAAATAGTTATCTAGCTTTGGTGGGGATGCTGTCACCAATAATTCAAGTGATCACAAATCCCCATTCTCACAAACTTGCCCGAAATGCCACTGTCCAGTAATTTCAAATTTATAAAGTATTTTGAACCAATTTAGAGAACTGTATATTTCTGCTTCATACTCTCCCTAGAACTTTTGAAGTTGGCTCAGAGTCCATACACAAATGGTTCGATCCTTTATATGCACAAGTCAATTCTATTATAATACATATAGTTACTTGATCGAATATATGGATCACTAACTTCAACACCTCAAGAATATTGGTCGATTTATCAACTAGGGAAAAGGTATTCCATATTTGGAACCACACATTTCCTTTTTCCTGATGAAATGTCAGTTGTTTCCATAGCATTTTATTTTCTATTTGATGCAAATGATGATGAAGGTGATGTATTTATAGGATTTGGGAGTTCACATTCATAATGAAAATTGTTTTTGATAAAAAATTGGTGGTTATTTATTGTTTCCTTCTTTTCATCAAATATATGGAGAAAAGAAAGAAACAAAGAAAAAAAAGGAAGGTATAAGAAAAAAGGAAGAGACGAGGATAAAGGGAGGGAGGGAATAGAGGGCAAAGAGGAAAGGACAAGATGAAATAAAGTATGAAGAAAAGAAAGGGAAAAAAAGGAAAAGAAAAAACGAAAGAATAAAAATAGAGAAGCAAAACAAATCAAAATAATAAAAAAATTGAAAAGAGAATCGAAGAAAAAAGAGAAAACGACAAGAAGGAGGAAAAAGGAGATCAAAGGAATGAAAGAGACAAAGAAGAGAAACGATAAGGGAAAAAATGAGAGGAGGATCGAAAAGAAAAAAAGGAAAATAATAAACAAAGTACATGTATGTGTTTAATTTTGATTGGCAAATTTTTCATTTATGTGGTGGGGATCAAATGTGGCTGATATGTGGCGATCATCTTACTTTTGAATAAACAAAGAACGCAATTGGTTAATTCACCAAATCGTAAAAATAGAAGTTTCTAATGTTAGCGATAGCTTAATATATAACCTGATACATCTATGTACACCCCACCCGATTTGGAAATAACAAAAATAACCAATAGCATTGCGTATTTTTGGAAATTTCTACTGTAATAAAGATTAAACTTAAAGGATGGTTTAAGATTAGGGTTACGGTTAGGGATGGTGATCCGGGTTAAATATACAATTATCTTCTCGACATTTTTCATTAGTACTCCGGACCAGATTTAGACATTTTTTTCTTGTATTTTTCACATTTCTCGCATTTTTCATTTTTTTGTGTCGGTTTGTTTTGCCAGGTTGATCAAAAATTTATCATAACGCGACATGTACCACATTCATGTAATATGACAATTTGTGCTACAAAATAAATATAAATACATGTATACGCGCGCGTTATCAAACATTGCACGATCCCTGCAAAAAACATTCATGTTGTGATTTCTTTGCCAAATATTTCTTATTAAATCTGGTCTCTTGAAAATTTTATTGCTTATGTCGTTTGTAGTAATAATTATACTGATGAAGTAAATGTCCATCGTACGTTTTACAAAATGTTGGAAGGTATAAGTAATGATTCAAAGGCTTCGCAAGAAGTTCGTGCTCGTGCAAAAAAACTTCTCCAAAAAAAAGAAGGTAAGTTACTTCACTGTTATATGAAAAAAATGGCGGCTTTTTGCCAGGCTTATGCACCTCTCATCGACTACGCCTTGATAAGAGTGGGCTCTGCTTCTCTGTGAATAGCTCTTGGCTTCGTCCAGACTATTTACACCCCTTATTGACTACGCCTTGATAAGGGTGGGCTCTGCATCTCTGCATGTAGCTGAATTAGATGCACGTTTACTGGATTTATCCAAGTGGGCGAGTAGGATCTGTTAACATGAATTTCTTACAAAGAAATGTTAGGCTTTTAAGCTGTAATGTTGGCAATCTTCCGCGTCTGGGCCATTTGATTTTATTCTTTACTTAACTTATTGAGAAATGGTTTCTCATCATAATTTTTCTTTTCATGAAGGTTGATGGCAAAACTCGTGCAGTTTTGATATATACGACTATCCATTATATAAATACATCACCATCTGCATCAATAAAAAAAGAAATGCTATGGAGCATCTTTTTCCTGGTGTAGACGTGCCTCTGCGTGTTGATAAATCGACCAATATTCTCGAGGTGTTGAAGTTGGCGACCCGTACTTTCGATCAAGCAACTATTACACTAGCATCGACTCGCGCATATAAAGAATCGAACCATTTGCGTGTGGACTCTGAGCCAAATGCGAAAGTTCCCAAGGAGAGTGTGTATGATGCAGAAATGTATAGAGATCTCCCAAAATGCAATCAAAAGCTTTTTTTGTATGGAATAAAAAAGCCATTCAACATACTCACCTGTGAACATATATCATCGCGATTGTATCGTAAGTTCCATCAAAACTAGTCTAACATGTCCGAGACCCGCAAGAAAGAGGTAGAGTCTACGGTTGATAACATGTCCGAAAGTTAGAATACCAGCGATTTGATGGATATATCACCATCGCTATTTAAGGACTCGCCTATATATCAAGATATTGAATCCACCAATAACTTATCTCAAAACATGCTAAACCGGTCGATAGAGAAAATCATCGAATCTGAAAGACTTGTCGACGAATTGATGTCTAGCAATAAACCTTCACAAGTTACGGAAGAGAGTAATCCACTAATTTTATATATTTTTTCAGAAAGTTCGATCACGCCGAATCTAGAAATAAAGTTACGAATCGAGAGGTTATCAATAGTTATTTTGATTTTGGAGGTGGATTATATAAACGATATAAAGAGTATAAAAAAGATAATGGTAAAGAAGCATCTAATGCTCTAGTTTTTGATGACGTTAGAAAACAAATTCCTGAAGAAGTGACCGATATTACTTTGCGGAAGAGAATGGAGAGAACCCGAAAAAATGTATAAACTTTAACGGGAGATGGCAAACACGAATTTGATCATTTTCGATGCGTTCTTAAGATCGTAAAATGTTTGAGGAAATAAAGATATTACATGTATTGCGCCACATTATTGCGTCCTCGTGACACGCTGTGTCACAGTTATTCATATGAATTTTGATTTTGTGTCGGTATGATAAATACATGTATCGAATTAATAAAATAAAAGTTTCTGATGCTAGCGATATTTTAATACGTATTTTTTATAATCAACCCAAAATGATTTTTTCAGTTTGATCCGATCATTCTATCGTCATTTATAGTTATTCCATAACTTCGTTTATAAACTCGAATATTATTTGCTTTGAACTATGTAATAATTTCGCATTTTCCATATTGTTTAAATTTAATTTTTCTAGCCCCATAAAAAAATACGCTGGTAAATTTCAATATATTCTGTAAAAAATGGTTTTGGAATAATATAGATTTTAAAAGTCCGATCTGGTCCACTTTCAGTCTAGAACTTAAGTTCAGTGGTTGAACTTGAGTTCAAAAACGTAACAAATTGCAGTTTAAAGATCGAGTTTGAATCAAATGGTCCTATTTAATACATGTAATGAACATAATTATCATTATCGATATCATAAAAGTCTCGAATTTACCATTTACATGGATCAGGTCTGTTCAGTGAACTGAGGTTCATATACTGGGATTTTAATTAATAATAGTAATTGGAAAACGTGATGAAACCACATAATTCGAGCTTTCACAGCTCACCCACGACCGTTTGTTCCTTCACGTGATTTTCCCGACTCCAACGATCTAAAGTTGCGTAAGTTTTTGATCAACTTCAGTAAACAAATCTGACTCAATAAAATGAACAATGCAAGAGATGCCTTAGAGCACTAATAAATGTAAGACAATTTTATATATAACTTGACTCTAACTCTAATACTAACCCTAACTTTAATTAGTGCTGAATGTTTCGGGTAATTGTTGTAGCCAGGCAGGGAAATCGAATTAGAAAAATTACATAAAGGAAATCGAATTAGAAAAATTACATGAAAGAACAATCGGTCGTGGGTGAGTTGTGAAAGTTCATAGTTTGTTTCATTCTGAACGAAACATAGAAAAGGTAGTTCTGACTACATTCAGACGCAGTTAATATAAATATTCAACATCCCTAAAAATAAATAAGATAATTTATGTGTATCTGCGGTTTTAGTGTATGTTTTCCATTTAGTACCTCCGGACTCATAAGGAAGTACTCTATAAATTTTTGGTCAGAATTTATTTAGTAATTCGAGCAACACGGCAAACACAATTATTGTGATTGCTCCTAGATTTCTAATGATCTAAAGTAGATGTCTTAATTTCGCTTCCCAATTCAATTCTTCGTTAGTATTAGGGAAGGAATCGATTCTCAACCCAAAATCGATTCTCGAGCACAAATTACGACGACAGCAATAACGACGACGACGGCAATGACATAACTGGTCTTTGGTTTTATTTTTTGATTTTTTCCCTTTTCATTGGAATAGTTGAAGTTATACTTTGATCGTTGAAATCATACTTTGTTGTTTCATAAATTTGGATCAATCTCAGTTACTTTTGGCACTATCAGAGTTATTAAATTCTATATTGGCATTTTTTTTAGTTATTATCAATAATAACATTTTTTAATATGGTCCAAGTAATCTATACTCAGAAATTTGTTTCAAATTTTAAAATCTTTCAACTCAACGTAGAGACAAAATTTTCAAAATTCCACCTTCTTTATGATAAGCTCTGCAAATTTACCAGTGGAATTTTGAAATTTTGCCTCTATGTTGAGTTGAAAGATTTTAAAATTGAAACAAATTGTTGAGTATAGATTGCTTGACACATAGGACATTTACTATGCTCTTTGAAATCTAGTTTTTGTTAAAAAATTAAAATAGTATACAATATTTTTAAACTGTTGAGACTCTGTTGCATACACCAATTTTCACCACACAATTAATGTTTAAATTTAACTTTAATGACAACGATAATAGTCATTGATCCAGAAAGCTTTCTGAATCCTAACGATAATATTTCGTGTGACTAAAGAGCAGTAGAGATAGATGGATGCAATATATTAAAATTTTATTCTGTAGTGCTTAACATTTTTGGAAAAATTGGTTTATACTGATTCACAGTACAGTCGACTCTATAACGAACCTCGAATGTTTAAATATTATATTAGTTCGTTATAGAAAGTGTAGTGGGCTCTATAGAAAACAAAGTGAGTTTATATAACGAACTT